TTCTCGTTAGTCCAGTTATGATAGTCAAATTAACGATGTAACGTGTGACAGAACTAATCAGGCCAACCACAATTAATTATGTATACATTTTACCATCAATGTAAATAATAAAACATACTCTACGACACTAATCAGCTGTAACATTAACTAGAAACCAGTGTTATTCATAAAATGATAAGGTATGCAATGCATAATTACTAATATGGGTTATATAGTTACTATTAGTACAATTTCATTCACTCCTTTAAAATTAATCAAAGGAGTGAATGAATCCAAATCTTGAAATTCTATAAAAATAATAACGATTTTTATTAATGTAAAAACCAATCAATATACTTTTACAGTAACACCTGACACTATATTTTTATTGCATACACATTTCTTGATGCAATAAGTGTAAATGTTATATTAGAAAACAGCTGAGGCAGAAAATTTAATTAATTATTACAGAATCAGGTGTTTAGGATGTCATAATTATTATTGGAGGCGGGCTATAACTAAACACCTGTATTGACTCTGAACTTACTGTTGTTTACCCGTAAATGTACGTATTTATATACTTTATTGGCCACATTATGAGTGTAAAGTTATTATTGTGGTCTCGTGGTTTGGACTTCTGTCCTCTGTCCAGCAGACTGGGGCCAATCCCATTAATCGCCAATGATTTTCAAGATAATGACTCAGTAGGCTATAATCTCTCATCTCTATTTATAAAACAACACTGTTAAGTTTAAGGTGAGGGGGCCTTTTACATTTTTGAGAATTCCTTTAATCATTGATTTTCAAAGTGTATTGAATTTCAATGTTTTCATTTATAAATACAAAAGCGGTCAAATCGGACTTATTAAGATGTCTTCTGAATCCATCCACATACCTAAACAAAAACTTAATATTTTTCAAAGATTACTTCTCTAAAACTACACCAGTATTTATAAAGATTATTTTTCGGCGGTTAAAGGCACAAACATCTCCCATACCAATCGTTACCTTAATGAAATGAAATGAAAAATTCTTTATTTTAACAGGCAAAGTTATGGCCACATGGCCCTCTCTTACACTTAACCTGACAAACTTAAATATAAATAAATAAAAATACAATGAAATTTCTTAATCTAATATAAATATACACATTTAACACAATAAGCAAAAATTCAATTTATTTAACTAATTTACTAATTAAAAAAAAAAAAATTGTAATTATTATAAATGGAATATACAAAAGAAAACACACACACACACACACGCATACGCACCAGCAATCGCGCAAAGACGCAGAAGCCCTAGGACACGCCAGCCGAGACCATTTGCTCAAATAATAATAATAATAATAATTATTATTATTATTATTATTATTATAATAATAATAATAATGCTTAATATGATTTTTAAGAGGTTGGCAGGGGTATTTTCACTTTGCATAGCCCTGGCCCGTTCACTTGGCCTCGGTCATAGCGAGGGGTGGGCTACTAGTAGTCCTACATTAGTTGAATTGTACTGGTAATATTCAGTGGCAGGCCTAATGTGAACATGTAGCTTGCACTGGCTCATACCTATTACTACTTGTTGGTACATGACTTAACACTATTATTGCACTGTTTGAAATTGCGATTAAAGTCATATGGCTGTAATACATTATTTTTGACTGTCGAAAAATTATAAGGTAGCTGTTTTTCCGATAATTAATTTGTGGGCGATTGTGCGTCTCGCAATGCAATGTCAAATCCTTAAATAGTCACTTAATTGTTACCCCTATCTTCCAATAGATAGGAGATTCCATATTCAGGCGGCGTTTAAAAGTGTATTTGCCATTGTGTTAATATGGTTTTGTTTAATGTTTTAACATGTTAAGTTTCTAGAGAGATAAGATTTAACATACAGTCATCATCTAAAAAATCTTCTAACACTGTTATGATGATTCATAAATTAATATGAGTTTCTATATTTTAAGAGCAAGACTGCTAAGGGACCTGAGTGTCATTTTACAATTTTTCATTTCTTCACTGTGTAGTGTATGTTCCCATTACACAGTGAAGAAATGAAAAATAATAATATAATACATACTTAAACCTCGTAAAATTGGGGGAGCGAGCTGGCGTAGTGGTTAGAGCGCGGGACTTCAGTCCCTGATGTCCCTGGTTCGATCCCCGCCAAGTCACCAATGGATCTTATCTAAGTGATAATACCGCAACCCCTAGGTCTAGCCTGAAGTAATGTGAAAAACAATCCCAGGCTCGTGCCTAGCGTCCTAGGACAAAAAAAGATGTTTCCACACCAACAATCAGCTGAAAGATCTATTCGCCATCCTTTCTTATTACAGAATAATCTGGCCTAGTGTCCGCACCACCCTGCGCTGAGAATACTACCACTAGTACTACCACTAGTACTACCACTAGTACTACCACTAGTACTACCACTAGTACTACCACTAGTACTACCACTAGTACTACCACTAGTACTACCACTAGTACTACCACTAGTACTACCACTAGTACTACCACTAGTACTACCACTAGTACTACTACTAGTACTACTACTAGTACTACCACTAGTACTACCACTAGTACTACTACTAGTACGGCTGTCAACCATCCGCATCAACAAACTCATTGGATCGACAAGAACACATTGGACTTTGGTTTTTCTGCTAAACCAATGCTATAACTTTTGATTTAGTCATACTGCAATCTTAAAAATGACTTGGTTTATATTTGTTTAGTCATATTCTTAAAACTGACTTTGGTTTATATTTGTTCGAAGATGTAAGCAATTATTAGTATTTTTTTTATTAAAATGTTGTTTGCAGTTGTTAAAGTGGTTTATTTTTTGATTCCTGAATCTTTTTTCTACACTTCAATTAGCAATTTAACTCTTCATTTGTGAAAATAGTTAGGTTGGATACAAGAAAACCATGAGAAAGTTCCTCATTACTTAAGATAACAAAAAAACTATTTACGCATTATATTGATCATGGAAGATTTACATTTGTGCATCTACAAACCTTTTGTTTGATTTCCTAAGTAGGACTAATTGAATTGTAACAAATTGAAGTTCAAATAATTTTTATCGTTGTTTCTAAAACAAAATAATGCCACGACTCTGCACGAAATACAAGTCGTTCAATTCGTTAGGCTTAAAATATATTTAAAGTAGAAATGTGCTCTTGGTTTGAAATATGAAAATATTGTAGTTAGTCACGAAGTAAGGGTTTACATCACAACATACCTAGATATATGTTTACACCTTACATCCTGAAATATATATTCATTATTTGTAAAATTGTGATTTATGCCGAGTTTGATATCTGATTGGGGCTCATAAATGATAAATGATCATGCAGATATTCAATTGGCATGCATTCATTGCGCTAACTTACAAATCAAGTTCATTGGTTGGGTTTCAACAGTGAATCTATGTCTGCATTTTCCTATTATATTTTTCATAATTCCAGTGTTCTTTCTTTTTGTTTTTGATTTTATTTAACTTTCTTGTCAGAATTGTTCATCAAATAACAATAATTTATCTGTTCCCAAATACTTACTATACAATTAAATATAATGATTGCAAAAATTAATCTTCGCACCTTTTGCACCGTAAAAAAATATATATATATTATATATTAATTAAACAAGCACACTTAGGAAAATGTATTGTTTCAACTATTGCATAAATGTTGTTATTTTTCCAACCAGAACCAGAAGTGGTTTCTGATGGTCCCAGTATAAATTAATAACTTTTAAACTGTAAAATACAAACATTACATGCGAACGAAATCAGTCAAAACAGAAAACGAAAACAATTAAACGTAATTTTTAATATAATCCGAAACTCATGCCAAGTCAATAATTAATTATATTCATCATCGTGTTACGTATTATCTGATATGATTATAATCACCTAAAAGTGATTATAATTAATTATAATCACTTATTGGTGATTATATTGGTGATTTGGTGATTATAAGTCATGTTGTAGTATGAGTAGTACCCTGTGACTTACGTAATTCCAGAGGAAATTTTTATTAGGGGGATTAAATAAATGTTTGTTGGGATTGTTAAAAGTACTAAGCTCTACATAAAAATACTTCTTACTCATACACAGCGTATAGATCTATATCTCCTTTATTGTCCAAGGATAATAGGACGAGGATTTAATAGAGTGTATAATTGATATTAGGATTTTCCGCAGTTTAAAAAAATACGGCCATTAAATTTTTTCCTTAGCACTCAAAAAGCCGAAACTGCAACATCCTATGAGAAATATTTTAACGTAAAAAATGAGAAGAAACTTGGCAATAATATATTAATAAGCAAAACAATTCTTAATTATATTTTGTATTTTATGTTGCAGTGAAAGAGATACAATTATGAATAAAACATCGAAATAACAATTTTCAAATCGAGAAGTCGTTTTTTAATTTATGATTCATGCCCACCCAAGCAAGTTGCTGGATTTATGTATGAATAAAATAAAGTTGGCACAACATTGTACACCAGAGAAATTATTTGTTATCAACTAAAAGCCACTCTTCCGCTGAAACAAATCCCTAACAGGGAGAACCACGTTCAATCTAAAAATAATATAACGTATAACCCTTTTGGTTTTGAACAGTTAGTTGTAAAATCTACAATGAATCTGGTATAGTATGAATAATTTTTAATGTATAAGTTACAACAATTTATCAAGGTATTATCGTAAATAAATATACTTGTTGTTTTTTAACGAAACTATCCCATTTAGTTTAAATTATTGTATCGAAAACCATTGTAATATCTGCACACGATTCACCAGTAATTCACCCGATGCGGGAGAAACAGTGTTTTTACTCGGCACGGCGCGGCGTTCCTTTGTTTTAGCGGGATCGAAGTTGACACTGAAACTCATGGATCGACCACAGAAATGGCTGTAGGAATAAGTACATAGAGCATGAAACGTTTTACAATTTGTGAAATATCCTCTGTATAGAGCTAGGAAGAGAAAACAGAACAAAACTGGTCTCTTACCTGAGTGAGCAGATAGAGTTTTGATGAGGTGTAGGAGCCTAGCTGACCTAGGGAAGTAAGTGACGCACTGCTCTGCACCGCAAGGCGCGAACCACCCGACCACCCCAAGTACCACCCACACCCACACACCCACACACCTACACCCTCGCACCCACACACCCATACCCGTACCCAACGTTTACTGCTGGTATTGTGAGGTGGGAAACAAGTTTGTCGCAATTATAATGGGTTTCTAATAGTTATTTGTGTAACAACTAGTGGGCGAAGTTGCACACGAGAGAAATGTTTACGCACGAGCCGCAGGCGAGTGTGGAAGATTTCTCGAGTGCAGCAAAGACAGTTTGCACTCGAGTTACACATTATATTTTTCCTACAGTTACTATAAATCATACAAATAATTAGTCTTTCAAACACTGTAAAACACGTTATTAAGTTATATCCAAACATTGTACGGAATGGGAAACGCTGCACCAGCTGATCGTAGTCGTAATATCTTCAAGTGTTGCCAACTTATTTTCAAGCGTACACGGATTACGTGCATAATAAAAGCACGCTGTTTTGTGTTTCTTGTTTTGTGTTTGGTTGGAATACAGATGTGCGCCAAAGTAAGGCTTTCTGTACTATAATCTGTGCAATGAAGCCCACTTTGTCAGGTGACTGTTGGATAATTTTATTTTATTCAATGTTTGTTACATAGAGTAAAACATTAAAGTAAAGGGAAGAACCGCCGTTTCGTGAAGCGTAACTCATTGTTCCCGAAAATGATATTTAACAGAAAAAAAGACGCGTAAATGAACACAAGATATACAAATCTACTGAGATACAGGAGAGAATGCAGAATAAGGCAAGGCGAGTTGTCGAGTTCAGTTACCAATTGGTAAAATACTGGTAAGTAAATAAAATGAATTATTGTAGGCGTTGGCGAGAGGAAATCAAAAACAAAATGAGACGAGAAACTGATAAAAACAATAAGAAAGACGAACTGGGGAGGAATGGAGAATGAGACATTCACGATTGGGCTATGTCATTATGGCTGAAGTAGGCTGTTTCCAGCCCTTGTACTTGAAGCTTAGAGTAATAACCACTCTGCTCTGCACACTTTCCTCAATTATCTCTTTATCTATATCTAGTGATATCACCGTCTTGTTATACATGTGGTATACATATAAAGGTTAACCGTGTTTTAGACTGTGTAATCCCCAGTATATTTAGCTATTTAACAACATACATACAGTCTGCGGTCAATTTATTCAACCAACTACAGTACGTACTTATATTACTTTCTATCACAGAGTCAACGAAATGAGACAAACTGTTAGATCATAAATGAAGATAGATAATGTATCTAGCCTAGGAGATTGGATTGCTAAATAGCTCTATACACAGAAATGAGCGCGATGTTTTAGCTAAAGGAATTATATAAATTACGAAAAAAACTAACTTAAAATCAACCACATCAGACAAATATTATATTAAACTTGTCGTGCCTCTAGATAGCATTATTTAATTGCAACAGTTTCAAAATCGCGTATTTATTTCGCATAGACTCATCTACATGTTTCGTTTACATGTTCATTTCTATGGATAGTTAGGTTGGTCACACTGCTTTAAACATATGTTGTCATTTGAACACTAAGCATTATACTTTAAATATTCTTTAGCACACAACCTTAGCTAGTTAATATTGAACAGATGGTCAAGGTAATTAAAATATCTCAAGCTTCACCATTTCGCATACATGTATTAGTAGCATTACATGTAACCATTATAGGTAATAAGCAATCAAAGTGGGCGGAACAGTAAGGCTTAGACTCGGGACCAATTTAAATACATAATTTTGGTGTCCCGACTCCAAAGAGGCCAAAAACCATTTTCATAAATATAATTATACATTTGTACATGCTTTCCGAAATAAGGAATTTTTAAATTTCCAAAAACTGGTTTAATTTGTTTTTTATTTTTTCCATTAAAACATTAAAATGAGTGATTTTTATTACTGTATGGTGCAAAAAACAAATATTTTTCTTGTTATATTGTATTGAATATTCCCATCTCATTCTTATGGATAGTAAATAAACCGTTGTAGTTTTGAATTTGAAATAAAAACGTCATCAATATTAAATGATTTTTTTATATTTTCATGAGGCCTTTCACCAGCTATACTGTCATCATCAGACACATCACAAAAACTGTTTTAGTTTGCTTATTTGGATTTATTTTGATCATATTTGCATATTCTTTACTAAACTATTAACATAAATTTTTGCTTCCCCGTAGAAGCTTACCTAAGTACTCCTAAAAATTGTGGTTATTTCTATAGGGAATAAATATGACAATATCTGAGTGACAAAACAGACAAATTTGAAATTTGCTTAGTCTGCAGGTTCGCTGCTGTGGAGGTATTTGTGTGCATGTAACTTATTTGGTTATGGCAACTTTGCCGTAAATAAATCATCTATTACTATTCTCTATAGCAAACTGTGTTACGGATGTCTACTGTATTAGAAAAGCCGTTAATGAACTACTTGAAGCTACCATGACATGAACGAATAAATAAATTTATACTGCATCAAAGCGCCATACAAACGCTTGTGTCGTGGGGGTATTTGTCAGGTTAAATATTTTAATCTCACAAACAAACACTGACAGTTAATTTATAACAAAGATCACTCTTCGACTTTTCACTTGTTTGCTGCGTCCATCATCGTGCGATCGTTTTTAACCACCCTCATATCACTTCCAATCCATATATTAAGCCCTTAGAATGTGTAAAATAATAAATAAAACATTCAAAGTTAACTGATGTTGGCTATACATTTGTCACATTGTGAACTATAGGTTTTGCGAGTATCATAAATTTGTGTGCATTTTGCTTGAAAAAGAACGATAGTGCAGATTTTCTTTTTTCGAGTTATAAGAGATTTTTATCGTACGACGATGCCTATTTCATTAATTATGATCAATGACGAGTCAAGATTTCTGATTTCTGATGGATGTAATTGTAGAAGATTAACTCATGGTCAAATCCTTGAGTCATTGTATTTCTGATAAACTTTCACCATTACGATGAATTAAAACCTTTTATGATATTATTGATTATTCTTTAATTAAACGTTAAAATCAAACCATGCGGAAATATTTATCTCAAATTAGTATTATTGTAAATGAAACTTTATGAAAATGTAAGTAAATGTTTAGTTAGAGGAAAAGCTATTCGCACAATTAGTGAGAACTGTTGTCCCCTAAACGAGGCTTGTTGAGTGCCTCAATAGTTAGAGGAAAAGCTATTCGCACAATTAGTGAGAACTGTTGTCCCCTAAACGAGGCTTGTTGAGTGCCTCAATAGTTAGAGGAAAAGCTATTCGCACAATTAGTGAGAACTGTTGTCCCCTAAACGAGGCTTGTTGAGTGCCTCAATAGTTAGAGGAAAAGCTATTCGCACAATTAGTGAGAACTGTTGTCCCCTAAACGAGGCTTGTTGAGTGCCTCAATAGTTAGAGGAAAAGCTATTCGCACAATTAGTGAGAACTGTTGTCCCCTAAACGAGGCTTGTTGAGTGCCTCAATTTTATCGTGTTTAAAGAATACACCTTTAACACGAGCTGCACATTATATTTTGTATACAGTTTATAATATGGAGCAAGCAAGTTTGTAGCGGATGACAACAAAACAAAATTACCAGAAAAGTGAGCAAAGTAATTGCGTTTTGTTTCAAAATAGCTTTTATCCATATGATAATGTCATCCCGATCCGGTTGTACGAAGCTCGATGTAAGTGTAGCTAGAAACAAATAATTATTGCCCACTCATGCAGTAACATCTTCCCCGAACTAGAAAACTTCTTCCATGAACAGCCAAGTATTGCTTTTGATATTTTAAAACCCTCTAATATCAAAGAACAGTAGTTTTGATCATTAATTAACTGGATTATGTTGTAGTATTTGGGTATTTAGACCACTGAGTAGCTGCAAATATTGGACAGTTGCAGATATAATGTTTACCTGGGTAGGACGTAGCATGATAGCCTCAGGGTAGGATCCACCCCATACACCACCACACTCGCCCACTTCAGCTTTCCTCATTTGCAAACATGTTAGCGTTACCTTTGACTATGAATAAAAATATCTTTAGACATATAGTCAATCGTTTTATCTACTTGGTATTTTCATTCTATTGACTTGAATTTGATATTCGTTTGATTTGGTTGCTTCCTTAAGTTGTTAGTTTGAATGAACATTTTGCTTAAAAAAAAAAAATGCGTTGGTTTTATGTAGAGGAAATGACCTTTTGCTTAAAATAAGTAATAGAAAGTATACGGTTACAACAAATTTCAATTTTTTTTTACCTTTGATATTTAAAAATTTGTTGGTCTTTATCAATGTTGATTCTTAACACTGTGTGAATATCAAACCTAAAAAAAAAATCAGGTGGTTGTTCTTTTGATGTATTTTTATTCTTGTATGTTGTGTTTTAATTTACTTGTTCTATCGTAATTTGCCCAAATTTAACACGGTTTACATACTACCTAACTTAGTTTATCTTCGAATTACACGAAGAATCGTTTTTTTCAGATCCCAAAGAGAATTATACACAATTTTCCTTTTACCAAAGATGAATTAATTCAAAGTAATTAGCACGCCACAGCCTGCAAGCACTGTGAGTGTGTGTGCGTGTGTGTTTTGAGTGTGTGAGTGTAGTGATCTGCAGCTGCAACACCCTCATGTAACTTATTAGCTTTGGCACAGAAAACATACTACTATAACCAGTAGTATGTGGCTTTGGGCAGAGTACAAACGACCACTATAAATTGACGTAGAGTCGGTAGTTAGGTTGGACTGTATATTGTAGTATACTGCCACTCCATATACCACGCTATCGATTTATCTATATTTAGGTTCAGTTTATACTTCGAGCATATCGCGGAAGAGGAAATCCATTTCAAAGATTAGACAAGATTGGTAGAGTGCTCCTGGCGATTAATGATTTTTTTTTACTGACAGCATTATTTTACGACCTTTTTCTGGTGAATTCGTCAATAGATCTACTTCCTCATTCGTTCCATTTATTTGAACAGTTTTTAACTCTCTTGCGTGC